AACAACAGCAACCAAACACACGTGTAATTATTTCTACTTACAACAAAGTTGGGCCATGCTCCTGTTGGCAAGTTGACGTATTCAGACAACACTTTGTCTCTGATTCTGTAGCCTGTGGAGGTCCCGCCAGTGAGGTCAAAGTTGAAAGGGTTTGCTCCAGTCTTGTAGATCTTGTTCCTTTCGTTCGGAGCTGAGTATGTCTCAACGACCATATACCTGCGACAAAATGAATGCCATTTAATATTTGTTATCGCTAAATGCACGATGTTGAACTATTGCTATGGCTAAATGCATGCAAGTTAACAATATTTCTGGCTAAATATATGCTATTCAAAAAAAGGCACATTGAAATAATACCTACTCCCGTGTAATTCTATAGGTATAAAAAATTAACATAATTTAACAGTCTGTATGACAAAGTGCACATTTCACAGTGACTATGAAAAAGTGTACACAATTAAACCGTCTATAAATCGTTAGATCGATCATCTATGGGAAAGTCGAGTCAGCTCAATGTCATTATCAGTACGACAAAGTGCAGAACATTCAACAGTCAATAATATGCCTATTAGGAATGTGACGAGAGCCAGTGGCTTATCAGAGACCATCCTCCAAGGGACAGTTCAGGGTGGAAGAAGAAGAGGCAAGCAGAGGAAGAAATGGGCAAAAGACATTGCCTAGTGGACAGACAAGAGTGTTGTCACGACCCAAGTCTTGCCCATGACTGTCAGGAGCGGAGACTTCTAGTTCTCTGGCAGCGTTTAGCAGTGCAACGCCCCCACGACCCCGTGAAGGGTTACGGACTAGACGCCCAGAGTAAGAACGTATATGTTAAGGGACTCGTGAACATGAATATGAAAGGCCAATTCTACTCAAAGTAATTATGATAAACTGACCAACAAACATACTATATTATTAGTTCGTTTTAGAGACAGAGTCGTAAAACCTCTACAAAAACAAAAAAGAGACAGAGCTTCACTAAACTTTAGATACCACTCAAATTCTAATTCCAGAGAAACGGAACTCGAACATGGGACCTCGGCATCAAACGTGCACACACTTCTGCATTTGGATAAACATCGTTTAAAAACATTTCACAATCACTTTCTGTAACGTAGCATTTACGCGCTCTTTGCCGTCGCAGGGGGCCGAGTTCGATCTCGCGTGAGGAGAATTTCTATCGAGTATCTCTGTCTTTCCTGCTGAGAGCTTACATCCCTCCATAGATGTACACTATAGTACTAGTACTAGATACAGTACGCCCCTCTCTCGCCTTGCTGCGCGATGGCCACATTTGAAAGCGGTGTCCGCCATGTTTTTTGTGGCA